GAGCCTGGTTTCGGGCCCTGGAAGGGGTCCTCCTTCCTGCAACTAGTAGGCTATCCCTTCTCTAGCAGATCTTCCCGACCCAGGAATCGAACTGGGCTTGAAGAAGGAATTCATAGGGCCAGTACTCTATCTCAGGCCTGTCCGTGCTGATCATGCTCGGCTGCCTCTCCAATGGACTCTGAACTCTCTGCTTAGTGCCTATGGGAACGACAATGGGAACCCCCTCCGGACAGGGGAACCTTGAATATTGTGTTAGGTAGTTAGAATAGGGAAAAGGAGTCCAAAATGGCGGTGGCTAAAAGACCTGGAAGGGAAAGCCCGCGAAAATAGAACAAAGGAAGGTCCGAGGACCAGAGTGAGAACCTCAGGTAAAACAAACAACACTCCTACCTAAGCTCTCTCTCTCTCTCCCTCCCCCCCCCCCCCAACACACACACACGATGGGGCGCTCTTCTCTTCCCGTCTTTGGATCGAAGTGCCCTCACACCTCAAAGATGGATTTTCCTGCTATCATCTAAATAAATAGAGCTGTAACACTGAGCTGTAACACGGTCTGTCCTCCGAGAGCTGTGACCTGCCAAGGGGCTTTAATGTCCATCACTCCAAATCTTTGTTGTGACGAGACAAAGAATGGAGGAGCATACACTCGCCTGACAATTGTACCCAGGTTACTCAATGCCTAAGAAAAAACATACACTAATCACCCCTGACTCCGGACAGTATCTATCGGAACATAACCACAGGCTTATCGGTTATTAACTGGTTGGAATGCAACCGCAGGCTTATTGATTGTTAACTGTTTGATCACATAACATGTGAATGATGGGGTTACTGTGATTGTATTTACCCTTCCTTTGTAAGTCTCAAGGAATTTGGGGTGGTGGGTTCGGACACGTACACTTGGGGTATAAAAGGTTTTCACAAGTGCTGGTCAGGGTCATTGGCTAAGAGGAAACTCTGCCTTGGGCCCGCCGGTGTAATAAGCTGCACTCCACTATCTGCATTGTCCTTCTGAGTGAGTTTGTTTCCCAGAAAGCGTGGCTATAACAGGATCTCCTGAATTGCAGGCAGATTCATTACCAGCTGAGCTACCAGGGAAGCCCTAAATGACCGGAAATATTCTGAGGACACAAGGTGTACAGGATGTGGCGTGTGTGCCTGCAAGGCATTCAGTTGTGTCTTGACTTTGCGACCCCATATACTGTAGCCCTCCAGGCTCCTCCGTCTATCAGATTCTCCAGGTATGAATACTGGAGTGGGTTGCCATGCCCTTCTCCAGGGGATTTTCCTGAACCCAGGGATCAAACCCACACTTCTTAGGTCTCCTGCATTGGCAGGCAGGTTCCTTACCACTAGCACCATGTGGAATGTGGACTCTGGAATTAAAGGTTAGTAAATTTTTCTGTAAAGAACTGAAAGGTTGTTGCTGAACCACGAAAAGACACTGGGATTCTTGGCCTCCAGAGGAGAATTCAATCCTGGGCCAGAGACAAAGCTTGATCGCTCAGAGCTTTTTTGTAATAAAGCTTTATTAAAGTATAAAGGAGACAGAGAAAGCTTCTGACATCCGTATCAGAAGTGGGCAGAAAGAATAACCCCCCTGCTAGTCTCTAGCTGGATGTTATATAATTACTAGTGGTCTCTTAATGAAAGAAAGGAATGTCTTAGAACTCAGAGATGGGCCAAAAAAACGATTGACTTGAATCTTGTAGAAAGGCAGATTACCATACAAATAGTTTCATTTACATAGATAAGGGGAACAATGTCTAAGTATAACATACTGGTTTATCAAGTCAGTTCTGAGCCATTAGGCGGAACTGACTTGAAGAAGAGTCTGGGGTAAATGCATAGTATATTAACATAGCTTAAGCAAACATTTCCATAAGAAAAGTGCATTGGTTAACTCAAGATTTGAGAAAAGTTCACTTCAGGTGGAACCAGGTGTCATTATGGCAACACAGTATTTTAAGAGAAACCTCTTTTAAATTTGTATATAGAAAGGAAAAAAATATATATCACTAGTTTGTTTCCTCCTGCTGCTTAAGAGAGGGATAAAAAATGTCTGCCACTTTCAGCCTATTTTCTCCGTTTGGAGACCGCTGGCCTCCTGCCTGTTACCCTCTCAGAACCAGATAGTAAATATGTTAGACTTTGTGAGCCAAAAGACAAAATCAAGGATATTATGTAGATGCTAATATAACAGGAGAAAAAACAAATTTCCACAAAATGTTTTCACAAAATTCTAAACTTTATTTATGAACAATGAAATCTGAATTTTATGTAATTTTCATGTCATGAAATATTGTCCTTTTGATATGCTTTCAGTGACAGAGAAAGTTAAACACCAGTCTTAGTTCACAGGCCATACAAAAAAACAGGCTACAAGCTGCATTTTGCTGACAGGGTCATGGTTTGCTGACCTCTGTTCAAGACTCAGACCATTATATAGTACTGACTCTCAGTTTACACAATTATGTGACTCAAAAAAGAAAAAAATGATGGCAAATCTTATACAAGAACTGCTTGATACTGTCAGGTGAGTGTAAGCTCCTCGGTTCTTTGTCTCATCACAACAAAGATTTGGAGTGACGGTACCATATAAATTTCCTAAACCTTTGGGAAAAAAATGTCTTCCCTTCAAAGAGATGTCTCTGTACATATCCCCAATAATATTCTTGGTGGTGGTTTAGTCACTAAGTTGTGTCCAACTGTTTGTAGCCTGCCAGGCTCCTCTGTCCTTGGGATTCTCCAGGCAAGGATACTGGAGTGCGTTGCCATTTCCTTCTCCAGGGGATGATAATATTCTTGCTGCTGCTGCTGCTGCTGCTGCTGCTGCTGCTGCTGCTAAGTTGCTTCAGTCATGTCCGACTCTGTGTGACCCCACAGACGGCAGACCACCAGGCTCTCCTGTCCCTGGGATTCTCCAGGCAAGAATACTGGAGTGGGTTGCCATTTCCTTCTCCAATCATTAAAGTAAAAAGTGAAAGTTAAGTTGCTCAGTCGTGTCCGACTCTTAGCGATCCCATGGACTGCAGCCTACCAGGCTCCTCTGTCCATGGGATTTTCCAGGCAAGAGTACTGGAGTGGGTTGCCATTGCCTTCTCCAGATAATATTCTTAAAGGCCTCCAAAACAGAAGACTGTTTTTACTGAAGACTGTTACTGAAATCAAACCTTCTCCTTCCTTGCCATTTCCCCATTCATGTCTTTGAAGAAAATCTAAGGTATCTAATGTGTAATTCTGCCTAAGCATTGGTCTCTTCCTTCACAAATCACCATGTAACAGAGGACTCTTTCTGTGTCATAAATCTACTCAGGCAAAAACAGCACATGAGCAAGGTGCTGGTGAGTAGTTATACAAAAATTAACTGTAGGAAAGGCATTTGATGAGGAACTGGGAAAGAAGGAGATGCATCCTCATGGTATTAACTACCATGGTAATAACTATCATTAACTAAGAAGAGAAGGCCTTGAGACCAGGTAAATGGATTAGTCACTATTTGGCAGGGCATTTAATTCATTCCATGAAACAAAATGCTCAAAAATGACCTCTAGCTTGGGTTTGAGATGTGTGACTGCAACATTTTTTTCCTTTCATGGCTCTTCTTTTAGAATACAGCAAAACTTGGAGGAGAAAGGGAATCATGACATACAGGCCTTTCATACCAAGACAGGTTAAATAAGAACACAATCTTCATTGCGAGCAAGCCTCCATCATCCATGTTCCCAATGGAAGGATGAGAAAGACTGGAATACTGTTGACCCTTCCCTGTATCATAAAGAAAAATCAGTTAACTGTAGCCTAGAACCAGAATCTGTTTGTATGTTCACCGAATTTTCCTGTTGACAAAGCTATGAAAATACTGTATGTATGCAATATGCAGTTTGCCACCACAGAGCTTCCAAAAGGAATCTTTGGAAGCAGAAATCTTACTCTTGGTGCCTTAATATCATGGTTTCCCAGCACCCTGCTTTAGGGGTAATTCCAGCTCTAAAATCGCCCTAATAAACACAGAAATGTGTTTTTGTTTTTTTTTTTAGTTGCAACCTTCATTCTACCTCTCAATATATTCAAGACCCAGAATGCTATTTTTGTGCAGCTAGCATTCCGGTGTAACGTGGCTCTAAAAAGTGAAAATACAGAGGCAATGAAAGAAAACCCACAATTCCAACAAATTCCAACAAATTCCAAGAAACCTTGGAATTGACAATTAGTGCCAGAACAGGCTACACTTAATGTACTGAATACCTGTGTATCAAGCTCTTAAGCTAGACAATAGAGTCAGGGTACATTGATGAAGGCAACAGGGGCCATGCTTTAAAACTGAGGGTCTCAAAAAAATAAATAAATAAATAAAATAAAACTGAGGGTCTCTGTGGTTAACAAGGGTCTCAGAGGCTTAACAGGAACAGACAGTCACACAGGGATCTTGTCCACGGATTCCTCAACGCTAGAACTACAAAAATGAAGCTCTACCCTACTAAAAGTGAAAAAGCCACATCAGGCCAGTTTTTGTTTTGCTTTTTAAATAAAGGTGATGGTAGCTTCATGTTTGTTTGTTTATGTGGCTGCGCAGGTTCTTATTTGTGGCAAGTAGGAACTACTTTCCCGACTGGGGATCAAGCCCCGCCCCCTGCATTAGGAACCTGGAATCTTAGCCACTGGGCCACCTGCTAAGTCCTTAGGCCGGCAGTGATCAGACTCTAGCCTGTTACAATAGTGCTGTCAAATGGTTACTTAGTCACAGTATATAAAGCCTCACAGTCGCCGCCGAGCAGGGTCAGTAATAAGGCCCCGCCCACATTCACAGTCTTAGGCGCCTAACCTGGACCAGTTAGAGACTCCGCACGTACACAGCCTGGTCCCGTCACTAACACACTCGTTCTCGCTCTTTCTCATAGCACTTATAACCACATCTTACGCTGACGCAGTCACACAGTCACACCCACAGTCACCTTCCTCAGCAGGTGACTTGCAAAGCCTAAGGCTCCCGCCTCTACCTGCCGCATCCGTGCCTGGGAAACTTCAGGACTCCAGCAGTGAGCTTCTCCTGCATCCAGACCCGAGTCACCTCCACTCACCGCTAGGCAAACTATGACTACAAGGTCAGGGGAAAATAAACCAGAGGCCGAAGTGCATTCGTGCCCTCAGAGCCTGTGAGAAACGTAGTCCAACCCGGAAAAGCGGACCCTGGCAGAAACAGACCAAGCGCCTGCAGCCCGGACCTCGCCGCTGCTAACCCGCCGCCGCGCGGACTCCTGGGAGCGCCAGCCAGTGCTCGAGTGCGCAGGCGCAGACGACTGAGCCTTGGCTGGGGTGAGGTTGGTAGGTCCTAGGGGCCCAGAGGAGGGGGCGCGAATTGGGAGTTCCGGCCCCGGAGAGCAGACTAGGGAAGCCTTGCCTGATGGGAAGCCTAGGGGGGAAACCGGGAGCCCACACCGGGCCTATAATTATGAGGACGGAACCGGAACCGGGCCCTTAGTAAACCAGACATTTAGATCTGTGAGAGCGCGGCCTCGGGCGTGGCCCGTGGGCGTGACCCTGAAGGTGACAATCTTGTGTGACCTGGAGCGAGTTTTGCGAAGGGAGATTTTTGTCTGTTTTGACCCCGAGGGAGTTCCATCGCGAGGAGCAGGACCTCACACAGCGGGTGTGTGTGTACCAAATGGAGGCGGCCGTCTGTACCCAACCGGCAGCGTTTTGGATGCGTGCTGCTGCTCTGTGCAGTGTTGCGGCTAACTGTGTTTAAAACTGAATGAGTCTCGTTGCTGCGTGAGGATTCCTCTGCATGTGTCTCTCTTCCGAATAGGTGTGAGTCCTGTTTGAGACCGCAGGTGACTATGGAGAAGCGATATGATTTGTGATGTGATTTTGTGACTTTGTCTGGAATTATTAATGTGCTGTCAGAGATTGTGAATGATACGCGGGTGCCTGTGCTATGGTGCTTTTCTGAAGTGATAGAATTTAACTCTGCGTGTGTTTGTAACCTACTGTTAATGTTTTGTGATAGTTTTTTTGATTGAGAAACTGTCTGACCACTAGTTAGATAGGTAAGATTTGATTATCTGAATAGAGATCATCAAGCCTGCCTCCAAAATTGTAACTCAGTAGCAACTTAGCAGATAAAATAGAGGTATAAGTACTGGAAAGGAAGAGGTAAGATTTCATAATTCCCAGATGGTAAGGTTCACTACAGGGAAGCATTCTTTATTTGTTCAGTCGTGTCCAACTCTTTGTGACTCCATGGATTGTAGCCCGTCAGGCCTCTCTGTCCATGGGATGCTCCAGGCAAGAATACTGGAGGGGGTAGCCATTCTTGTCTCTAGGGGATCTTCCCGACCCAGGGATCAAACCTAGGCCTCCTGCATTGCAGGCAGATTCTTTACCGTCTGAGCCACCAGGGAAACCCACACTAACTAAAACCAGTGTGTTAAAATGTTTAGTGTTCTATGAGTAGCATGCAGAAAAAAAACAAACCATTTATTTTCACCCATAACTAGCACTTTCAGGAGGCTTCCCTGGGTGGCACAGTGGCAAAGAATCTGCCTGCCAATGCGGGAGACACAAGAGATGGGGGTTCCAACCCTGCGTTGGGAAGATCCTCTGGAGAAGGAAATGGCAACCCACTCCAGTATTCTTGCCAGGAAAATAACATGGACAGAGGAACCTGGCGGGCTACAGTCCATGGAGTCACAAAGAGTTGCACACTACTGAGCACACGCTAGCAACACTTTCAACAGTGATGTATGAATAAGGTTTCCTGCTTCTGGATGAAATCTATGGCAGGGTCAATAGCTTCTTAAGGCATTCCATGATATCAAAGTATTAGGTATACTTTTAATCGTAAGACCAATCTCATTTTAGTAATTAAAATATTATTTTGCTAATTAAAACATTCACTGTAGCAATCAATACATCAGACTTCATTTAGCAAAATATACTCCTCTCTGTCTGGAAGCCTACAAAGTGGAAAGATCAATTTCTATTGCTATACCTGCATTGCTAAAAAGTATTGTTCAGTAGTTAATACTTAAACTACTATTAATAAGTTACTAATAAATAATGGTTAATTTTCAATAATTAACTATGTTAATTAAGTAGAATGTACAGGTGAATCAAAGAGATGAAGTAGAGAAATTAAATAGAAAATCCAGATATTCTCAAGTATGTAGGGATATGTAATAATGATAGAGATGGCATTTTACATCAACTGAGAAAATATGGACTGTTTAGTACATAGTATTGTTAAAGAATATATATGGGGAAGAAATCTTCACAAGGCAAAAACATTTTAATAGTCACTTGAGCAGCTAAAAATTATTTTCAACTTAAAATAGGTTAATTTATTAAATTGAAAAAGGAGATAATGTCAACCAACTATAAAATAAACACCACCATGAGAAAAACAAATATACTGTAAGATGTCTTCACAGAAAAGAAATAAAAGGAGCTTATTCTCATATAAGAAATGTAAATTAGAGATGTATACATATATATCCTGGAAAAGGAAATGGCAACCCACTCCAGTACTCTTGCCTGGAAAATTCCTTGGACTGAGTACCCTGGTAGGCTACAGTCCATGGGATCGCAAACAGTCAAACACAACTGAGCGACTTCACTTTCACTTTCATACATATATATATATATACACACACATATATATATGTATATATATATGTATATATATATGTCTGGTAGGCAGACATTAAAATTATTTTCAACTATATTCATTAGGGTTTGGGGAGGTGTTCTCATGCACTGCTGATAACAATGTAAATTGGTAGGAAATCCATGAAGAACGATTTGGAAATACGTGATAAATTTGTCTTCCATGGGAGACATTAGGTGGAGCTGCAGAAGGAAAAACACTATATTCCCTCTCTCTAAGCTACAACAGATTCCCCAGAATCTCTTCTCCTTCACCAGGAGATTAGGTTTCTGGCATTGGTAAGGGAACAGGATTGGTCCATTTCCATACTAATCTCTGTCCTGGATTTGTGTGGGGTACACAAAGTGAGCAAGTGCCGAAATTGAAAATAGACGCAGGTTTAACTGAGTTATTCTGAGAGATCTAAGTCAAATCTGGTTTCACATGGCTCCCTGTATCTTCCCATCTCTGCCTTCTCAGGACTCTTCCCTTTTCCAAAGAAGAGCACAAAAGAGAAGGCTCATCTCCTGCAAACATCAAAACCATGCCTCAGGTGAGATGATGTTTCCTCTCTTTCTGAAGTAACTTGTTTTTAGGTTGTGTGAATATTTGCTTCCCTATTCTTACATTTTCTGGATATTGGGATTTACTTCCATCAAACTGGTTTCCATAGGGCAAGCAAGTGGCCTTCATACAAAATTTAAGAGGGACTCTCAGGGCTGTCCAGCCCTAAATTTTGTGCCCATGTGTCTCACCTGCCTCACCCTAGTTACAGCCCTATTCCCAGCTTCTCTCATTCCAACAGGATAGACTTCAGCCTTCCCCAAATGCACTTTCTAGTTGTAGCCAATGTTCACATACTGATTGGATGTATCATTCATCGTTTCCTTTCATAGTCTTCTCATGAAATACTGCTGGAAGAGAAATGTATTATCTTGACTTATATTACTTGAATGAATCTATCTTATGTAGACACTGATTTGAGATCTAGATTTGTAAGAAATCAAGGAGCAGACATGCAAAACCTTGATAATTTCCACTGACCTAGGTTTTGCAATGGTATGGTGAGAGGTAAAATTAATAGATCACATTATTATTTTGTGATTAAATTTCCTGTTTTGTGAGGTTTTTAAGATAGAGATTTGCTTCCTACCTTATACAGAAAACTGAAATTTCACATTCCTCTCTGATCTTTCTGTTTTATCCATGTTTGTCAGCAATTCCTACAAACTGTGACCCACCAGTGAAAAACCTTTCTGTACTTCAGTGCTGTTATAGATGTATTTTTATCTTTTTTACTTTCTTCTAATTTTCATATGTGGGTGCAGGAGAAGAAGATGCATGTGTTCATTCACTCTTGAGAGAATAGTCTACTCTTGAATCAAAGTTGGTACTTTTTCCTCTTCCTATATTTTTCTTTCAAAAAATTCCTCTTTATCTACCCGTCTTTAAAATGCCATTCTGGATTTTCCCCAGATGCCAATTGGTTCTCTTCTCCTCTATGTCTCTTTTTGTGTATGTACAATCACATTCACTCCAAAGGTTATACTGATGTGATTCTAGTGACCCTCAGATACTGCTCTCCATTCTAGACCTTTATCCAGAGTATCAGAACCATATATCCAGCCTCCAACAGCTATCACTGCCTGTATGTTCCATAGACGTTTCAAGTCCACTACCTGGGTTTACCTCATTACCACCTCTGGTCCAGCTTATTCTTTCTCCTGCTTCCCATTTCTTTTTTCTAGTCTCAGCACCTATCCACTTGCTATGCAGATGACCTGAGAGCTATACCTCTCTTTTTTTCTACTCTACGAGTAATTGATGACCAATTCTATTGAAATTTACCATGGAACAAACAATTGTCCCCTGTCTAGACCATTAATACCACTTTAATCTCAGACAGACCTCCAGCAGTGGGTACTTACTTGTCTTTCCCACCTAACACACTTCAAGCCTTCTCTAGTGTTCAAGAATATTGCCTCTAAAGTACAAGTTTTTTTCACATATGTGCTGACTTAACATTTCTTCATTTTTAATACTCCATAAAGCAGTAGATCCAAAGTAGGACGTGTGTTACAAAAGACATGTGTACACAATGTACAAGAGAGTATACTGAAAAGGAGGAAGATAGTAGTAGTTTACATTCAGGAACATTTATTGTTAACAATGTGGATTGCTGTTAATGCCAGCTAATGATTTGTATGTTGGGAGTGTACTTAGAGTATTTTTAAGACTACTGCTCTGTAGGAAAAAAAATCCAGTATTATTACATAAATATGCCCACTACTTTCCTTCATACACTTTTTTCTTCTTAAGCCCAAAGATTCTTTCCTAACATACTGTACCTTTTGCTATTTCCTGAATTTAGTAACTGGTTTTACTTTCCCAATGAATTTTAAAAGCCCACTGACATGTAGTGCTACAAAATAAATTCATTGTGAGTACAAAATTTTTATGTCTTCAGTGAAATCTTAGAATCCAGAGTCTTAGAATACTCTATAGTATTTTCCCCTGTACATATTTCTGTCATCACATCTATAATATCTATTGAGTGTAAATATTTACACATATGCCTCTTTTTTAGCCTGTAACTTCTTATGAGCAAGGTCAAGATTTTATTTGTTTCACTGCACCAAGCAACCAATCACATTCAAGGCAAAGAGCATGATCTCATATATTTTTAGCATGAGATAATAGGTAAATACAATTGAATGTATTTCCAGAGAGAATTTTCTACAGTACAAAAGGCAAGAAGACCAGGTCTGACCACTGAACATGGTCTCCAGTGTCTAGTTCTCACTAGTTCCAATTACTTTAGGATGAACTGGAGTATGCCCTTACAGGGATCAGTTTCATTCAAGGATGTGACTGTGGACTTCACCCAAGAGGAGTGGCAGCAACTGGACCCTGCTCAGAAGGCCCTCTACAGAGATGTCATGTTGGAAAACTATTGTCACCTCATCTCTGTGGGTAAGGAAAATTCCTTGCATGTTTCAGTGTCATGCATCTCCTTTCAAGAATTTCTGAAACATGTGGAACTTTGAATTTCAAAGATCAGAGCTGATGAATAATCTTTTTGTTAATAGAAAGCATGATTATGTCCTCACTTGCCTAGTGCAAGGTATTAACTTTGGTAGGACATTAATAGCCTTGTCTAATAGCCACCTTGAAGCTGTATCTTTCTCTTCCTTCAATAGTTTTAAAGCCTAACAGCTTCTTAGACCAAGTCTTATTTTTTATTATCAGGATTTCACATAACTAAGCCTGATATGATCCGCAAATTGGAACAAGGAAAAGAACTATGGACAACAGAGAAAATTTTTCAAAGTCAGAGTTACCTAGGTGAGTCTGTATAATGTCTAGTGGACTCAAGTAGTTGATGTCCTTGAGTATTTCTGGAGATCTGTATTTTTTAATTGTGGTAAAATATACATAAAATCTACCATCTTAACCATTTTTAAGCATATCGTTCCATGGCATTAAGTACTTTTACATAGTTATGCAACTATCACCATTATCCATCTCCAGAACCCTTCATTTGTCAGAAGTAAAACTGTACCCATTAAACAATAACTCCCTGTTACCCTACCTCCACTAGCCCCCAACAACCAATATTTTACTTTCTGTCTCTATGAATTTGACTGTGGTAGATACCTCATGTAAGTGAAATTATATGGTATTTGTCCTTTTTGTGAATAGTTTATTTCACTTAACGGAATGTCCTCAAGTTTCATCCATGGTATAGTATGTATCAGACTCTTCTTCTGTTTGAAGGCTGAGTAATATTCCATTATAGATACATGTGACATTTTGCTTATCCATTCAGCTCTCAGTAAACACTTGGGTTGCTTCCATTTTTTGGCTGCTGTGATTAATGCTACTATGAATATGGGTGTACAATTATCTGTTTGAGTCATTGCTTTCAGTTCTTTTGGGTATATACCCAAAAGTAGAATTGCTGGATCATTTGGTAATTTATGTCTGATGTTGGAAGGAACTGCCATACTGTTTTCCATAGTGACTACACCATTTTACATTCTCATCAACAAGGCAGAAGGGTTCCAGTTTCTCTGCGTCCTTATCAACAACTATTATTTTCTTTTTTTCCTGATAGTAGCCATCTTATTTAGGAATGTACTTTTAAAGGCCTGAGATCTCTGAAGTACCTGTCTATGGCTGACTTCTATGCTTCTAAATTCTAAATTTTTTTAAATATTAATCTCTACATAAATCCTTTCCTTGTGTGACTTATGCTTATGAGCTATTGGCTGCTATTATTTTACTGAGAATCCAGTCCATGCTTTGTAGATACAATGTCCATAAAGATCTTAAGTGTAAAGTTCTTTGCATTCTGAAAGAAGTGGAAACCCATGTGTCTCACACTGTAATCAAGATAAAGGGCGCTCCTACTAACCTGTTAAGTTCCATCAGGCCTCTTCCAAGGCAGTCCCTCCCCAGGACAATCACTACTGGGATTTCTACCAACACAGATTAGTTCTGTCTATTCTGGACTTTTTTCATGTATACTTAAAAAAATATATATTTACTTTATTGAAATGTAGTTGACTTACAATGTTTCTTCCCTGAGTTGGGAATATCCCTACAGCTACCCACTCCAGTATTCTGGCCTAAGAGAATTCCCTGGAGTGTATAGTCCATGGGGTCGCAAAGAGTCAGACATGATTGAGAGACTTTCACGTTCACTTTTACAATGTTTCAAGTACACAGCAAGGTGATTCAGTTATACAAATACACATATATTATTTTTGAAGTTATTTTCCATCATATATTATTACAAGATATTGACTATAGTTTCCTATGCTATACAGAGACTTTTGTTGCTTGTTGCATACCTATTTTTTTCATTAGAAACCTAGCATTCTATTCATACTAAGTCAAACAAGTGGAATCAAAATGTCATAATTTTTTTAGTTAGGCAAAAATTCATAAGTTTCCTAAAATACATGTATTATACATATATATATATATGTATACAAAAGCTTTTCTACTACACTTGATAAAGGCTTGAGAAGAACTTCAAAAAAAAAATGAAGAGATGGAGAAGTTGGAGAACATAAATGAAATGGAAGCACTGAATATGAAATAGAAAAAGTGGAACAAACTAGATAAAAGTAAAAGATCATCATATAGTCCAGTTGTTTTTAAATATGACTGCTCATTAGAAACATATCTGGAGCTCCAGACAAAAAAAGCAGTACCTGAACATTTGTATTTTTCAAAAAATTTCAAGATAATTCCGATATGCATCTGGATTTTAAAAAGTGATTACAGGTTTTTCTATTTGATCCTAGTTTCGGTGATACAGAGTTCTATTATTTTTGACCAGTTGTTGACCAATCATGATACAATGGTGTTAAGTGAGTAACAGTTACATAATCACAAAGTAAAAGATGTTTATCAGTTTCATAATTAATAGCCAGACAAAAAATAAAAGCTAATTATAATTGCAAACCATAATGGGAACATGATTAACTTAACAATCTGAAATAATTACATACAATTTGTGGGGGGGGGGTCAGTCAGAGTGATGTAGTAAGTGGAAGTGCATACATGCACATGTTTTCATCCACCCAGTCAGTATATGTCTCTTGGTTGGTGCATTTAATACATTTACATTTAAGGTAATTATCAATATGTATGATCCTATTACTGTTTTCTCAATTGTTTTGGGTTTTTCTGTAGGTCTTTTTCTTCTCTTGGGTTTCCTGCCTAAAGAAGTTCCTTTTGCCTTAGTTGTAAAGCTGGTTTGGTGGTGCTGAATTCCCTTAACTTTTGCTTGTCTGGAAAACTTTTGATTTCTCCGTCAAATCTGAAGGAGAGTCTTGCTGGGTAGAGTATTCTTGGTTGTAGGTTCTTACCTTTCATCACTTTAAATATATCATGCCATTCCCTTCTGGGATGTAGAGTTTCTGTTGAGAAATCAGCTGATAGCCTGATGGGAGTTCCCTTGTATATTATTTGTCGTTTTTCCCTTGTTGCTTTTAATATTTTATCTCTGTCTTTAATTTTTGTCAGTTTGATTACTGTGTGTCTCGGTGTGTTCCTCCTTGGGTTTATCTTTCCTGGGACTCTGTGCTTCCTGGACTTGGTTGACTATTTCCTTTCCCGTGTTTGGGAAGTTTTTCAGCTGTTACCTCTTGAAATATTTTCTCAGGTCCTTTCTTTCTTCTCCTTCTGGGACTCCTATAATGTGAATGTTGGCGCATTTAATGTTGTTCCAGAGGTCTCTTAGGCTGTCTTCATTTCTTTTCATTCTTTTTTTCTGTATTCTGTTCTGTGGCAGTGATTTCCACCATTCTGTCCTTCAGGTCATTTATCCGTTCTTCTGTGTCAGTTACTCTGCTGTTGATTCTTTCTAGTGTATTATTCATCTGTTCGTCTGTTCTTTAGTTCTTCTAGGTCTTTGGTATACATTTCTTGCATCTTCTCAATCTTTGCCTTTGTTCTTTTCCCAAGATCCTAGATCATCATATCATTAATCTGAATTCTTTTTCTGGAAAGTTGCCTAGCTCCACTTCATTTAGTTGTTTTTCTGGGAATTTATCTTTCCCTTCATCTGGAACAAAACTTTCTGCTTTTTCATCATAATTAACTTTCTGTAATTTGGTTTCTGTTTTCGGCACTGTGAGTCTGTGCTTCTTCTTGCTTCTTCTGTCTGCTCCCTGATGGATGAGGCTAAGAGGCTTGTGTATGCTTCTTGATGGGAAGGACTTGGATGGAAAAAACTGGTTCTTGCTCTGATGGGCAGGGCCTTGCTCAATAAAGCTTTAATCCAATTATTTGCTGATGAGTGGGGTTGCATCCCTCCCTAGTAGTTGTTTGGCCTGAGGCAACCCAGCCCTAGCTCTACTAGCTCTATGATAGGGTTAATGGCAAACTCCAAGAGGGTTTATGCCAAGGGGTCCTTCCAGTGCCCCTGTCCCTGTGGTGAACGCCTGCTGACCCATGCCTCCACAGGCGGCCCTCCAACACTAGCAGGTAGTTTGGGTTCAGTCTCCTGTGTGGTCACTGCTCCTCTCCTCTGGGTCTCGGTGCGTGTGAAATTTTGTTTGTGCCCTCTAAGACAAGTTTCTGTTTCCCTCAGTCCTCTGAAAATCCTATAATTAAAGAAGCCTATAATCAAATCCCTCTGGCCCTCAAGGCCAAATTCCCTGGGGATTCTCAGTCCCTTTGTTGGATCCCCAGGCTGGGAAGCCTGATGTGGCGTTCAGAACCTTCACAGTAATGTGAGAACTTCTTTGGTATTATCGTTCTCCAGTCTGTGGGTCACCCAACCAGCAGGTATGGGGTTTGATTTTATCATGATTGCACGCCCCCTACTGTCTTGCTGTGGTTTCTTTGTCTTTGGATATGATGTATCTTTTTTTAGTGGGTTCCAGTGTCGTCCTGTCAATGGTAGTTCAACAGCTAGTTGCAATTTTGGTACTGTAGCTGGAGGAAATGAGCATACATCTTCCTACTTCACCATCTTAAACCAGACCCATGTTTACTTTCTTTCACTCAGCTTAATGACTGAGGTATTAGTACATGTTTCAGTATTTATATTAAAATAGCTTATTTAAGTTGCAGAATAGTACTCAGTTGTATGGAGATATCAGTTTGTTTATACATCTCCTATTGATAGACATTTGAAATGTTCCAGTTTGGGGCTATTATGTTTTTGTTTGTGTTTGGCCATGCTCTGTGGCATATGGATCTTAATTCCCTGACCAGGGATCAAGCCCACTCCCCCTGTAGTGGAAGTGTGGAGTCTTAACTACTGGACCACCAAGGTTCCTGGGTCTATTATCAATAAAGCTACTGTGAATGTTCTTGTAAAAATATTTTTGTGAATATATGTTTTTATTTCTGCTCAGTAAACACCTATTAGATGGTATTGCTCATTTGTAGGGCAGGTTTACATTTCACATTGTAGAAACTGCCAGGTTCTAAAAGTTATCATACCATTTTAAACTTTTACCAGCAATCTATGAGAATTTTGATTGCTCCCACATTCTCCTCTACATTTTAATGTTATCAATATTTTCATTTTGGTCATTCTGAAATATTCTGTTAAGAATAGTAGTGTATCTTAGCAGTTTCAATTTAGATTTCTTTTATGACTAATGATGTTAAGAACTTTTCCAAGTGCTTTTTATATCTTCTTCAGACATATCTGTTCAGATGTTTTACTCATCTTTTATGGAGTTAATGTATTGTTTCCTTAGGAATTCTTTACATATTCTGAATAGAAGTCTTTCATTTGATACAGGTATTACAAGTATTTCCTCTAGTCTGTGGCTTGCCTACTCATTTTAGTAGTCTTTCAATAGGAGCAAGTT